CTTAATACGCTGTTTGTTTCCTAATTTTTGTTTTATCAAAAGACTCTGCTACAGAACATATCTACATGGAATGGGATAGGTTGGTTACTTGTTTACTTTTAATCACGTTGGCAACCTCTTTATCTACCATTTGATTTCCTATTTTTCCTTCTTTTTTAATCTTCCGGTCAATATTATTTTAGGGTAGTTTTGGAAATGAAAAAGTGATCACACCCGATTATTCTATATAATCTATCTAAACTCTAGTTCTACCCTCCCTCTAGCCAAACCCGCCGCAGCCGCAAGCTCCCATCAACGTCGAGAGGAAGGATTATCCTGTCCAGCTCCGCTGACCGCCTCCACCGCTCGCGTCGCACAAATCTCGCAGGCCGCCTACACCAACCCCGACGAGGATGACTCCGTGCAGGCGACGACGACTCTGTGCAGCCCACGACGCCGTTGTCTTTCTCTCTGGTCGGTCAGTCGGTGATTGTTTGTTTTTTTGGTTGGTAAATCGACGAGGGTTCGATGACTCCCTATCATTTCTCGCTTCCTCCTACTATGACTGAACATGGCGCACCGGCGAGGTTGATTTCACCTCCTCTGGATCTTGTCGGCGAGCAATTGGTTAAGACTCGACAGTGCAATTGGTGAAGCCTCCAATCGTATACCACCTTGGTGAGATTTGTATGCATTGGTAGTGATTTATTGTTTTGGCAGTTGTCTTCTCACATGTGTAGTTTGGCGTGGAATGGTAGTGTTCATTTGTATGCTTGCAATGGAAGTGTTCTAGTTTTATGCATGCTAGTGGTTGGACTTTTTTTAAGTTTATTGCACATTGATATGTTTCTTGTTGTAAAGCCGCGTCTTGTCTTGCATTGGTATTGGTATTGGTTTATCCCTTATATAACAGTAGTATCTTCCATTGGTTCCAATCTTGCTTCAATGAGTAATGTGTTTTCTGTTACCATATCTCAATTTTAGGTATGTCGAGAACCAAGAACTCCAATCGTGGAGGGTCAAGAAGTAAGAATCTTGTAAACTATATCAATCGTTAGGTGCAGGTCGGAGATGGTCACTTACGCACATGACCTAAATTAATACCAAACTAATCAGACACAACAATACGTTGCACAATAAGGCACAATCAATACCATTTCAATAATGATCATCATGATACCAATACCAATCCAATGAATACCACCACAATCAATCCAACTTTAAATTTATACCAATACAATCCGTACATATTTAAGATCACTACCAGCACAACCATACAAAATGAGCACTACGAATCCAAACCTCACAGAACCCTACACGATGATTTAATTGCTATAATAATCACTTTCTGTAATTATCTCTCTCTAATTATCACGTAATTAATATAGTAGCTATGATTATAATATAAGCAAAATACCATTTATATGCTTAGTGATCACTGTAACTTGTCTCTATCTACATCTATATTAATAGCGGATTATTGTAACTTTCACCCTCATTCAAATTTTCCGGTAATGAGAGTGAAAGTAGAATGGATATTTTTGTCTTCATAATAATTTATTTGTTTCTCATTTATTCCTAAAAAAAAGAAAGACATACGAGGATTCAAACCATGGTCATTTTCAACAATGACAATCATCTTAACCAATCAGACTGCATAGATTAGTTGCATCATTTAAATACACAATATACATAAAGCTAAAATAAAAAAAATCATAGAATTTTCAACGGTTAGCTAAGGTCACTGAATCTTTCCTCGGTACTAATTGGTATTTTGATACTTCGATTTTCATATTTAATTATTTTAATTACACTTTGTTACTTAATTTAAATTTTTATTTATCTTATAAATAGAGGAACTTTAAAATCATAGACCAAATATCATTGGTTCAATATTACTTATCGAATTGCAATATCGAATTTGTATAAGCAATATTGAACTCTTACATTAGTATTAGTTTATGAAACTACTATGAGGCAATCATATTCATATCTTTCTACAAACTATATGGGGACGGATTCTTTGAACTTTTTAGCTAGCCTAACCGTTAAGTTTTAAACATCTTCTTAATCCGTCAGGCATGCTAAGATTGAGTTTAACAGGTTGGTTTATTTCATCATTTTTTTATGTATTAAAATAATTTTGTACAGCAAATACATGTCTACATATACACTCTACACAATATATACTACTCGCATGATAAAATTGTCATCCCATTTTAAATTTACTACAACGAGAGCAAAATTATGAATGACATTTTTTTCGCCATTATTTATCTTTATTTTTGTATAGAAAATAGACAAGTATTGGGATTTGAACTAATGTATCTTCAAACACAGACAAGAGTCATGCATAACAATGATAGTCAATTTGAGTTTGACTTTGTTGGTCGAACCAATTCTACCTAAACATGAGTATCTCAGCGGGTGCCGAAGGCCCAATTGGTTGTCTACTAGGGTTCGGTCAAACCCATGAAAACTCAATCACATAGAGAAATCCGACCATTTTAACAAACTGATTTTTGAGTACCGAGCCACTTCAAACGAAGTTGTTTCAACAATTTGCATACGTAGCTATGCTGTCATATCATCCTTTTACTTATTAGTTATCACAAAACCCTACAACATGGAACATCACATACCATGTTCGACTATCCCTTCGTCCTTCTTCTTGCTTTAGATTCGAGAGCCTTTAAGACCAAACCATCTCAAAAGCCATCATAATCCCGCAATAGTAAATTTCATTTTTCTCCAGCTGCACAGTCATAGAGCCAGTCGACCTCATCTCATACAAATAAGAAGCAAAAATTATTAGAAGAACATGCATTTGAGTTGAAACTTTGTGTGGCTAACAGAGGCCAAATTCCTCATTTTAATTATTGTTTAATACTTAAATAAATTTCCTATATATCTTATAAATAGAGGATAACTTTAAAATCGCAGCCCAAATATCAATGGTTCGAATATTCCATATCGAATTGCATTATTAAATATGTAGAAGTGATGTATAAGTCTTAAATAAGTACTAATTTTTATACCTACTATGAAACAATCGTATTCATATCTTTGTGTAATCTATATGAGACTGGTTATTTGAACATTTTAGTTCGGCTAATCGTCAAACTTTAAACCTCTTCCGATTCTGACATGATTGGGTCCAACAATCATTAGGAGTTTAACAAATTGGTTCAGTTCACCTTCTTTTAATGTGCTAATGGATTGTAGGAAATGACATGTCTTTACATACACTCTACACAATATGTAATGCTGAAATGAGAAAATTTATATCTTATTTCAAATTTGCTACAACGAGAGCGAAAGTAGGAATGATATTTTTATTTCACAATTCTTTTACAGATATAACCAACTTCCAAAATCCAAAAATTGTAGCTCAAACTAAAAATCAAGGCATCGAAAATCAAATTTCATAAATGTTATTTCATATATAACTTATTTTAGAGATTTTTCTCTCTATAAACAAAGTAAATGAAAGAAGTTATAGCCAAATCAACAATTTGCCTCGAAGATGGTGACCCGCTTCTTAGTGGGAGAAAGGAATACATGCGGTGGCGTCGGAGATCTGGAGAGCAAAGATGAAAAGGATACATGCGACACGAGATCTAAAAAGTTGCTGAAGATTTGGATGAGCGGTAAAAAAAGCTTCCTACTTCCGATAATTCACCACGAGTTCGTGAATGGTAGCGTCAGCTTAGGAGACAAAGAATCGAAGGGAAAGAAGAAGGTATAAACAATGCATTCATTTCTCTTTTTCTTTTGAATAAAATAAAACTAAAAACATCAATAAGAAACAAACACAGTATCTTAAAATGCATGCATTTAAACAATATATAAATTTATAATACACGTTGGTATAGAATGCACTCATTCTAACAATCGCAAATACCAAACCACCTCTTAATAACTTAAAAATTAGGTGTTATGACTATTTTTTTGTGAGGCTCTACCTTGGAGCGAGTAAGCATCTAATGTTAGGCGTCAGGCACTACGTCTACTCGTTGGTTTTGGCCCAAAACTTTTGGACTTACTTACCAACTTGGTCTTAATAAGTGAGTGTGAGATGATTAACTGGCTATCACTAACCCTATCATATCATATGAGTAATCAACAAGGCCTCTTGTCATTTTCAATTTGCATCTTCGCAGGAAAACAAACTAGCTAGCTAGCATGCATAATTTTACATATATATTATTTAAGTTAAAGCGAATGACCTTATCTTCCTTTTTTCTCTAATACTTCAAATATTGGACGCAAAGTATAATTCGCTATCAAATACATCACAACGCATAACCCATTACAAAATTAATATTATCTTTGTCCCTCTTCCATTCCAACCAGTAGTACTCAAGAGTCGAGAGAGCACATCCTCCTCTCCTCTTAACCACACAGAAATTATTTATCAGTAAAAAATGGGCCTAAGCCCAGATATATAAACGAGTCTAGTCCACCAAAATGAGATGACGTTAATATTCTCGTATATTTAAACAGCAATTACAATATTGTCAGTTATTATTTTATTTTTTTACAAAGCTATCAAACGTAAAATTTGTTGTTTTATGTGTTTTGGTCTGATTCTTCGTGATTAAGCTAAAACCTAATCTTTTTTCTGCCCTCTTTTTCTCCTCCTCCTCCTGCCCCCACAAATTCTATCACCAAACAAAAAATAAATAAATAAATAACAATTTACATAAAGCAGAGAGGAAAAGAAAATAAAGGCAAACTGAAAAGAGAGATCCCCACCCACCATATCCCATATTATTTTGACACCTTACTCACAACAACAGTATTACACTACACAGTGCTTAACTAGAAAAATCTTTTTTCCCCACCAATTGGACCATACTGCCCTTCACTTTCCACCCCCAGCTCCACTTATAAATACCCAAACCCAACACTTCATCCTTCCCTTTTCCCCTCCTTCCCTCCCTCCGGTTCACTCCCGAAAAAAACCGGGTTTTCTCTCCCTTAATCATTTCGGTTTTGCCAGCTTTCCTTCCATGGCAATGTATGCAAGCGAGTTGTTGGATATCCCGGTTCACACGGTCGAACCGGGGTTCACCGCCCACGAGCTGCAGGAGCTCCTGTCCTTCTTCGATCACCAACCCATGATGACGACGACCACCACCACGGGGAGCCCGAACTCGAACTCCGGCTCGGAGGGGTCGAACCGGTCGGTCTACAACGTGGACGAGAGGAAGCGGAGGCGGATGGTGTCGAACCGGGAGTCGGCCCGGCGGTCGAGGTGGAGGAAGAAGAGGCATTTGGAGAATCTGACCGAGCAGGCGAACCGGTTGAGCCTGGAGAAGGAGGAGCTGAGGTACGCTTTGGGTTCGACCCTGAGCCAGTGCAACGTGGTCTGGAAGGAGAACCAGCGGCTGCGAACCGAGTCGGTCGCTCTCCGCGGGCGGCTCACCCATTTGTGCCGCACGTTGGCCGCCATGCACGGCCATGCAGTGAATTATAACGGCGCCGCCCTAAATCATTCGGACCATTCATAAATCGTAAACCCGATCGACCCGTTATAAAAAGCAACAATTTTTTTTGACCGAATAATTGGAGCTCCATAGCCGAACTGATGATCAACAGAAGCAAAGCAAAGAGCGCTCTCTCTCTCTATATACATAGATATATCATCGCTCTCTCTCTCTATATACATAGATATATCATCACTCTCTCTCTCTCTCTCTCTAGGATGGCGGATTTTGACAAGAGCCCACGTTGTTATAGCATGTAAAGTTAAAGGAGTCGTCAGCTTTTTTGTTTTTTTCATTTTATTTTTATAATTATGGGGTCATCTTTTTTTCGCAAAACCTTTTTTCCATCTACTTTTCTTTTCTTTTGCTTTGCTTTCTAGCTTTTTTTTTTAAATTTTAGTTATTATAATTTGTGGTTATCACTTATCAGGAGAGGAGCTAAAACAGTGGTCAGTTGTAAGTTGATTAGTCGTAAGTGCGATTGATCGTGCATGAGATGAGATGAGATTCCTTTGTAAATATTATTATTATGATAAAGTTTATTAATATTTGGATGATTTTGGTTGTATTAATTAATTTGTCCCTTTCCTGCGTACTCGGGGTATAATATGACAATCACATGGGAAATTAAGATTCGTCGAGCGCCCAGCAGGCCCACCATTAATAATCCGCCAAAGCTTCTTTTTTTCTTCTTCTACTTCTTTGTGCGTGCGATTAATTGAGGTGAGGTGAGTTGAGTTGGCATGTGATGGGGTACTGAATGTGTTGCAAATGTGACCAACAACTGGAATATAATTAGGCTTGAAAAGGTTGTCTGGTCCTGTTTAATTTGGTCCCCCTATCCAAAAGAAGAAGAGGGAGAAGATAAAATGACCGCCGTAAAATGTCTATTCCTTGAAACATGTTCTTAATTATTAGGCCCAGAAAGGTAAATCTGTATGTATGTTGGAGTTAATGGAAAGGGACAAAGATTTGTCTCTGTCCCTAGCTAGCTAGCTTTGTTTGCGGTGACCCAACTAATAACCGGTCTTGTTGTCAAAAGATAATTTCTCTGTTGCCAGTATCATCATTTTCTCCACTCAATCTCAAGTCCGGCTAATTAGTAGTATGATACACCGTCGTTACATTAAGCTTCCAGCATCCTTCATAAATCATAGGAATCGTGTGTCGCCAGAAATCAGAATGAGGAGTTAAAAATTTACTCATGGAGGATTTGAACTTTGAACAAGAGCTGTAATGTCATAAACCGGTTGATCCCAATAATTTGAGTTGTTGGAAAAATATTATACTGGATCTTATACATGTCCATGTATGGTACTTAATCACTTCCTTACACGCCCCCGTCAAACGAAAACCGACTCATGGACTTGAAATTTGCACAGACCCGCCATACCATACTGATATATTAAAACTTGACCGTTTTGAGAGGACAGTTTTTCACAGATGATAGGCAATCCTAATTAAGCATTGACCGGATCAAAACCAGACTGTATCCAATCCAATCTTTGATCCTTATATTCTCGAAAAGACCGGACTAGGACCGAATTAATTTGGTCCAATTTAATCGGACCGGACCGTATAGCCACCCGTAAAACCTCTCCAACAATCTCTTAATACTTAATACAGTCCATACTGACGCAAGGGAAAAGACAAGGAGGTCATATGCAAAACACAAATGCATGAGAAAATCAAACGAACAAATTTACATGGTCATATCTAGAGCACCAATTCAATGCCAACAAGATCTCTTTTAAACATCAACCATATATATCCAAGCTAATATCTATAAGGAAGCAACTGAAAAGAAAAATCAACATGGCAAGGATCGGATGTTTATACTAAAGTAGAAAATTGAAAACCCTTTTCCCTTCTGAAGGAGATGAATCTTTGTTGAAATTTCTAACAGGCTTTAGTGGGGAAAAGCCATTGAAAAATCAATCGAAGAAAAAGGGATATGAAAGCCGAAATACGCATCAAAGTCTACCGAGCATACATGTCGGGGAACAGGAGATAGAGAGATATCATGTAATGTGTTCCCCAAAATTTCTTTGCATACATATCCACTAGCTATATGACTGACTCATCGTGATGAAGATGGCGGTGGGTAGTATGGTCTTTGTTTGTCGATGGGATTACCTTTGCGATCAAGCTTTAATTTTTGAGTCCAAAGTCGATGTACGTTTTGGTGTTCTTTTATTTTTTCCCCCACCGTCGACTGCAAAGACAATTCCAGAGATCCTAGCAAGATATCAAAAACGCACAGAGATGAAAATGAAAAAAAAAAAAAGGTGAAAGTTATGTAAAGCAAAAGTTCTAATAGTCGTTTGAGAGATATAGAGGGGGAAAAAGTGAAACCGCACACATGCATATATGAGTTTTGTGGTCTTAAAGTGCTGTGATTCATATTTATATTCAGGACTGATCAAGAGTCATTGGTAGTTGGTACAAGAGTGAGAATTCGGCAGTTACGTTGTTTTTCCATGTTGAATATGGGTAGATAGAACTAGTGATGGCAGTGCGGCGGATGGGGTGGTACCTCAATACTTATCTTCTTTTCGCACTAAGCAAGGGATAGGTCGGGTAATACTCGCACTAGTACAGGGTGGATCGATTTATTTTTTTTATTATTTAAAAAAAGAATGTCGATATTTAATTCTTCTACGAGAATACATGGAGAAAACACTTTGTAAATGAATGATAAGTATAGTAGAAGGAATATTTTATTCTAAATAGTTGAAAGATAGAGTTTTGATAGTTTTTGCTTTAGTTCACTTGCATATTGTCATACGAGTCCAGTCTTTAATAAAAAACAAGTTGAAAATCATAAGATAGTAGAGGAGATCATCAAAGAAGGAGGAGCATCTAGTTTCACTTTTATATTTTCGAGGAAGGAGCCTCTAGCTCATAAGGGGAGGAGATTTTAAGCCCCATCGATCAAGAGTACTTGACTAGAGAAGGATGGAAAATATGGACGAAGACTGCAGCTTCGAATCAAGATAAGAAACCTCTCCCACAACCTCTTCTACATCATCTATTATCTAAGATGGAAGAAGAACAAAGAGTAGCTATCCCACCAAATCTATATTAGTATTTGAGAACCAAAGCCTCGAATATCACATCCAACATTGTTGCGCCACCGACAAACATCGAATTTCAAACTCAACTTATCCAAATGGTGCAACAATCAAGGAGATATGTTGGTAGGAATGATGTTGATTCTGTGGAACATCTGAATATGGTTTTGGAGAATTTAAGTTCCATTAAAGGAGATAATGCAACTAGAGATGCAATCCCGCTAGGACTTTTTCCTTTTTCACTTGTAGGAAGGACGAAGCAGCGGTTAGTTACCATCAATTGGGCATGTTTGCCACATGGAAGAACCTAACATAAGCCTTCATTAAAGAATTCTATCCACCATGGAAGACATTCTATGAATTTTGGAGGAGATTCCAAGAGCATCTCGAGGGATGCCCTCATCACATATTTAACTAGAAAAAGTTTTGCTAATTATTTTTTCCAAAGGATTGGATTGAGATATCACAATCATGGTAAATCAATCTTTCGATGGTGATTTCACTATAATGACGGGAGCTCAATACCAAGAGCATTTCGCCATACTAGCAAGGAATTCAAAGAACTGGTCTAGGCGACAAACAATGAAACCATTGAAAGCTGTTCAAGAAAGGAAGGAAGTTGCTACCATCTTGTGTGAGCAGATGAAGGAACTTTCTCGACAACTAAAGAAAACTTCAATAGAACGAAAGAATGAACTAGTTGAAACCTTGTTTGTGTGTGAAGCTTATGGAGAGAAAGGCCATGAAGGAATCGAATGTTGGATCCATGGAGAGTAAGGACATGCTGATGTCAGTTATATTAACCATGGGTATCAAGTATCAACCAAAGCAACAACAAGGAAGCTATGCTCTTTACCAGAGATTCAATCAACCTAGCATACCTTATGGTCAATGGCCAGTCCCAAAAGGAAGAAGCCCGAAGATTACCCCAGTATCACATATGTCAATGCACCTTATATTCTTGAAGGACAATGGAACAAGAAGCCACATCCACCTGGATTTGAAAATAAAACTAAATATAAGGAGCAACGAGGAAGTTCTTCCAATCACCAATCTACCAGATTCGAGAAACTTGAAGCAACAGTCATTGGTATGCAAGCAAGCTGCCAGAATATCAAATGACAACTCTTGATTGATGTTAAACCTCAAAAGCCTCAAGAAAATCTTCCCAGAAATATAAAGAATAATCCTAAGAATGAGTAAGTCAAGACAATCTTGATGATAGTAGGAACATTTCAAAATTGCTTGGGTAAAAAAAGGGTGAGGAGACAGCTCCATAGAGGATGGCGGACTTGAAGGAAGATAATCCTCGCCCCTTTCATATCCATGACTTGGTGAGAGCATTGGGAGGAGAAGTTGCAACTTTACCTCAATTGAGAAGCATTACAAAAATGGAGAACCCTAAAAATAACTCTAGAGGTTTCTAGAAGAAGAAGACACAACGACCATCAAATCCCCTCCTAAGGAGTTTGAGGACATCGTGTATGTGGGAGAACAAAAGTAGTATTCGGAGCATTGTTATGGGAAACATAGGCTATCTTGAGTTTCATGAGAACAAAAGTAGTATCCAGGGCATTGTTATGGGAAAGCATATGATGTCTTGATAATTCTCTCTAGCATTGTTATGGGAAGCATTGTATGAACAAAAGTTCATACAATGCTTCCCATAACAATTGTAGAGAGAATCGAGGAACTAGGGTGGGAAACATCATGAGATTATCAAGACATCATACGCTTTCTTTGTCAAAATGATTTAATCCACGTCTTATTGAACCAATAAGAGGAAATACAAGTAAATGGGGAATGGACGTTTATCTTCAATGGTCGTCAAATTAAAAGAAGCATGGCTATGCCTAGGTCAAAGACATAAAAGAAAGAGCGCTCCTGAGAGGTAACTCATGTTTGGCGTCAAACTTAATGACATTAAACAAAAGCGCAACCGAGGAGACA